CTAAAACATCCTGAGCCTTTGGAACCTTTAAAGTCACAGAATACCTCTTAACCTCTGCTGGATGTTTTCCTGAGAAAATGCAAACTGTGAAAACAGACATAATCTGTTTAAGGATTACAGAAAGTATGAACTCCTGTACAGAGTCAAACACCTAGAAGCAGTTTCTTCTTGCTTGGTAACTTTGCTCAGTAAGTAAAATTAATTACTAACTGAAATTGGCTTATCTACAGCAAATGCTTCTTCTAAAATCTCAACTACATGCTTCCTAGTCTCCTAACTGTACCACCATGACATAGAAAATGTATCAAAAATTAGTATTTCTACAAGCGAAGTCACTAGGATGCCCCTTACTTTAGGGGCACCTTATTATTATTAAGTGCCTAAAGTGGGCTTCTTAAAACATGCGCTTAATCTGCTCAGAGTTAGCTTCAAAACAAATAACTTCCCCTTTTACAAACACCAGAAGCCACCAGCAGCTTCTCTGGAGGCTCACGCTGGCAGGGAGTGTTTTTCCAGAGGTGCACGTGTCTAGTGAAAATCACCCAGAATAGGAAGAAAATAGGAGGGAGCCACGCACAGCAGTTCTCTTAAGGGATGGGGTGGTGTGGGTCACGCAGAAAAGGGCAAAAAAGATAGGACAATGATCCGAGCTTACTTAGGTCTAGAAAAACAAGTATAACTGGAAAAATGTTCGAAATTATGACCTACAATTTAATTATATTTTCAGTACTTAAATTTGAAGGCTTCTCTGCAGAAACAGATAGGACCAAAAGGCGTGTGGTAATGAACTTGTCTCTGCTTCCTAAAACATAGTTAAATAAGACCCCTGATTGGTTCTTACTGGAAACGTTAATAAAAATGAAATACATCTAGAGAAAAGTTTTCAAAAATCCACTTTGTAAGGCAGTTCCATTGGACGATGGGGTCCCTCCTCGTCCCGCCCGGTGCTGCGGACCGCGCGTCCGCTCCAACTTTCTCACTTCGTGGTTGGGTCGCGGAACCGGGCTGCCCACGACTCGCGGCGCGCACCGGGTGGACCCGGGCGGGCGCCTCC